CTGTTCAGGATTTACTATATGTATTTCGTGATTAATGTCCCTTAGTGGGGGTAGTTTATTTGGTGTTCCATTCACCATGTCAGCGTATTCCTCCTTCCAGGCATGCCTAAGCCTATCTAGATCTGGCGCATTATTTTCTCGTGATTTTCCCTTTTCCTCTCGAGTTGCTCTTATTGCCTCCCGGGGCTTATCGGTTGGGTGCTTTTGTGGTTTCTCAAATTTCTCCCGTAGTTTTGCAATGATATTTATATCATCCGCCGGTAAGTTCAGACGCACAGTTGGTCTGTTGAGTTGTTCCCTTATTGTCGCTGCTCGTGGGTATATTACATCAAAGTCCACGGTTTTTGATATCTCCTCGCTCGTGGCTTTGCGGTACTGTGATTCAGCCGGTATGTTGTACCATCCGTTCCTGTTGGCTATGGTACTGCTCATTATTTCATTCCATTCATCCGGCATTCGTGGATCGTGTACCCAGTCCAAGGTTGGCTGCGGTACTGGCCGTTCCCAGAATGACCATCTGTGGTGCGTCTGACCTATTGCGGCTGACATTATTTCTTTAATTATACTATTCTCATCTTCGCTATTAATCAGGTCTTCCACCTTCACCTTGGATGAGGTAGGTTCACAATACATTGTCGGCTGTCGTGTGGACGCCGCTGGGTTCGCGCACATTGATCTCGGGTCTCTACTAATTTCATCAGGTACGCCAAGTGCACACTTGTCATTATCCTGCAATGTTGCGCTGTCCTCATTTTCCTTTATTGGTTTATTACTATCCCGTTTGGGCTTCTTGCGCGTTCTGCGCTCTTTACTGTCCAATTGTTCTTCTCTCTTTTTCACTTTATGTCTGAATTCCCCCCCTTCTTGCAGAGTGGCACACTCAGCAACATATTCATCCTCCATCATCAGCAGGGCGGGATGATCCGTCGGCAGCCTCTTATATCTGTCGGTCCTCATGGCCCGTACATGGTCATCCTCCGCTTCTTCAACCGACGCCGATCTTAGTCAATCAGCTCGGTGATCATTCGCTCGACTACGGTGAAGGCGTGGGTCCACATCAGCAGGGTACGCCAGTGCAGGTGTGACGATGCCATTGACTGACACAGTCATGTCTCCAAAGTCCAACACGACCTTGTTCTGGTGCATGAACGGCGTGCCCACAATCATATCATATCGGTCCAAGTTGCATATATCTGCGTATATCTCGTTTTTGCAGCCTGGCATGTTGATTGGGATGTGTGCGCCGTGAGTAATCTTGGCTCTACTGCCCACCGTTCCCAACTGAACAATAAATGGATCAAGCAGGGGAAATGCGGTGATCTTTGCCGTGTCCGCGAACGCAGGGGTAATCGACGTGGTGGTACTCCCGGCATCCCACAGGGTCCACGCGTCTTGGCCATTTGCCTTTGTATACGTGATCAGACATGCCTTCTCCTCCGGAGGCACTACTGGACGACACTTTGCCGTTCCAGACGATTTGAATGTACCGGTACGCCTCTTGATCATTTTAGTGCTATTGTCAATTTCAGCTATAACCGCTGTCATTGCCGCCATAACATCAGGTCCTGGTCCCACGGTGGGCTCCGCTTCTTCGTACCCGATATCTATTAGTATATCACTCTCACGCCGCGTATACATATGCTCCGTATCCGACTCACGCGAATAAAATTCGCTGTCGAAATCCTCATATGGTACGTCCACTTTGTCGTTCGTGGATCTATTACTCAAGTTTTCATCTGCACTGTCATAGGATCCATCGTCCGACTCCGAGGAGCATGAGCGCTCATCGACGTTATCAGGCTCAGAATCCCTGGAGCCAGTGTGTGTGTGTGCTGCTCGCACATACTCACGCCTCTTCGCGTCTCCTCTGCCAGTGGGACAATCAGGCTTATAATGGCCGAATTTACCACACAGGTAGCATTTCACCTCGCTAAGTGGGCGGATAGGTTTCTTCCCTTCTGCTTTGTTGTACGGTCTCTGCGCACTGTCCTTCCCTTCATGGGCATGCTTTGGAGCATCTGCGTCTTGCCTATCATTGGAACGACGGTCCGCAGCCCTTACACGATCCCGTGTGCCTCTGGTACGTCCATCACGGCGTGGTTTATCATCTCTATCACCTTTCGAACGCGAGGTGCTGCGTGAATTCAGCAGGTTGGTGTGCACTCCATATGGATGATTGCCATCATAGTGTCGCGCCACTTTTTCCGCTGCTTCAATTGACTTTGCCTCCGAGACTAGTTCCTCAATTGAGTTCATCTCAGGGGTGAAGTTGCGGTTAAACAGTTCGTTACGCCAATTCGCTGGTATTCCACGAATGAATCTATCAGCTAACGTGTATCTATCAGGTCTATCAATCATGGTTTCAGATATATCACATATTGTGTCATATAATCCCTGGATGCCTGTATCCGAGTCGTATCTCGCCTTCTCGAATATTGTTCGCGCGTCTTGCGTTACGGACGCCATCACGAACCTGTCGTACAGCGCCGTGGCCACATCCTCGAAGGTCCAGTCCCGYTTTTCACGATTCARTCCGAATACATGTAAYCTGATAAAGCTTTTTGCTTTTCCATCCACCAGCATCTCGCTGAACAATACACGCGCATCCTCCTTATCAGGGCCGCTCAAATTGGCTATGGCAAAGTAGATGGATACATCTGTCACCCAGGTTTCCAGATCTCKCATWCGGTCTTCTCCCTTGTACRTTGTTACTGTTTTAATGTCAGGAGCCTTTGGGCGATCTTTATCRCTGCCAAAGACCTTTTTTGTCCCGCAGTTATCTCTAATAATATTTTTAAGGCGCTCGTGCATRTCCAKAYGGTACCGATCCTGGACATCTCTGATAGCAGGGGACGCTGAATTGCGWCCTTGACTGGTCGGCGGATTACTATGCGCCCTGTATTCACGCGTCCCTATCTTCGTCGTGAGTTTATCAGCTTCTTCAATTGATGCCTTCAGTGCTAAATCTCGTTCCYTAAGTCGTCGCTGTGACACTTCAATCGCTTCCTGCTGCGCCATGTGTGCTGCGCGRTCTTCCARTACTTGCTCCTGCAGYGTTTTATTATTMCGTGCAGTTTTCTCATYWTCKGCTGGTTCRCTGAAGCGTAGTCCCAGGCTGTTMTCAACTGGTTGCAGCGGTATTATTTTTTCTMTTTTTCCTYGGCTTTCAAACTGTTGTCTCATAACGTCGGTTATACGCCCGTCACTTTCCCAAYGAATGCCCTGGTCCGARTAGTTAGATACCCCGTGCTTATTCATATCCGCATTATGGATGCGCTGCAGTACAATCCTATCCTTCAAGTCGTTGGCAATACCAATCCTAGCTGCATCCCCAACCTTGTACTGTCTCGCTAGCTGTGCTAACGCTTCCCTGGTTGGGGAATCATATTCCTGGAATCTAACGCTATGTTCCGACGGGTTGTGAGATTTTAATAATTCATTATATTCATTATATGTCTCCTGTTGCTCCCTCTCTTCTGCAATCTTCATTCCCACTTCATGTGCTTTGCGCAGTATTTTAGCGGCGATCGGCCGCGATGTACGCGTGCCTGACGAGGCTGTTTCTTCTGGCGCCTGATGGTCCTGGGCCAATGATTCCTCTATAGGCTGATGATTCAGCAGCTGCGGTGTTTGATACATCGGGTCGGATGCAACATCCCGTAGTGTGGTGAGATAGTCATCCGGTGTTCCGGGGACTGTCGCTGGCTCTATGCCCGGGGTATTGTATCGAGCGTTCCGCTTGTATTTTTCATCATTGTAGATAGTCACGTTCAGACTTATGCGCCTCATCACGGATTGTACGTAGACGTCGTCGTTTGGGCTGCCAGCAGGCTGCTGTCGGGCAGATCTCGCATAGTAGGCGCTCACTATCGCCTCTTTTACAAGCTCCGTCCGGCGTCGAATCGGTACGTCATTTTCATTAAAGTCAGCCCAAAATAGCATGATCGATTGTGCTAATTTTGTATCCAGTGCTACGACCGGTGTGYTATTCCCTAAGCCATTCCTACGTAGCATATCTTGTACRCTTTCGCGTGGTGCATRGCTCTGTCGTRCGGAGCCGGTCGGCTGGAATGTCACGTCTGACTCGTTGCCTCTGCGCTCGGGGGTGTGTGCTCTGCTTGGTTCCACATCCGATCTATCTTTAGAATCGATCCGATGATCCGAACGATCACTTCCCTGGGGAGATTGCGTGCTCGAGGCAATGGCAGAAAATTTTGGAGARGTGTTTGAATCTCCTCCTCGACTCTGGGGRGYCTCGGGGGAGTCTCTCTGACTATGTTCAGAAGACATTGTTCTTTTTTGTATGGTTTGGTAACCGGATAGAGTTTCTTTAACTTTTCAGATATTATCTCGGTAGCTCAAAAAAGTGAAACGCGTTGCGTTTCAAGATCACTTAGTTCACCCAAGAACGAGCTTGCCAATGTATAATATTGGAAAGATGTAGTTCTAGGTAAAAAAGCGTCTGCCCCAGCAGTACGCAGGCCGACGTATTATATAGTCAGCTAGCGCCAAGCCTTCGCCAAGGCGCTAATTGCCGGGTGAACGGTGCCATAGCCCGGACACCGTTACAATCTGGATTTAACCGCACGTTCGCCATAATGTCTTGTTTTATTAATAATAACCCCTCTCCAACTTGTGAAAGGTCACGTCGCGCCGCGTTGATTTCTCAATGCTCATGCATGTGCGCCCTGCAAACCCTGCTGAAAAATGTATAGGAGTCAGGGCGGAAAGCGGGTACGTTGTCTATAAATAGTATATTGCTTTTCTAAGCGACGGCAATGCATAGAGAAACCACATAGAAACTTGATAGAAACACCCAGGAAAGCAGAAGATCTAAACTATGCTCGGATAGGAGTCCGAAGAGTCGATATTGTGTAAATCATCATCTGTAGTTATAGGAGCACAGAATGTTGCAAGTAAAAATGGATGATCGGGTAAGTCTATGTATATATATATATTGGCTGTGCTGTATATAAAGCTACCTTGATCATCAGTTATATGGGCGCTTAGCACAGTGGTAGCGCGCTTGCTTTGCACTATTAAGTGAATTGCACGAGGTCGAGGGTTCAAGCCCCTCAGCGTCCATATTTTCGTTTATTTTTCTTCCAAAAATCAGAAGCGTCACCGCGGTCCGCAGGTTTTGGTCCTTGGAAGTTGGTAAATGTTCCGGAATTCGAGAGTCCGCCCCTCCGAGGCCAACGACTTTTTGGCAGTACTTATCTCCCATCGTCGTACAATTTCAAATGTATATTGTCTAAGTCAGCTGCTCGCCGAAGAGTACAATATCACGATACAGGTTCACTGAAGAGAAGAGTCTTCACGTATGAATTCTGCGGCCTGAGAGGGGTGTCGGACACACTGCATATCGACCGTTGTGGAAAGCATACCTTTTCAGCGATCATATATACCGTGGAACACTACATACAATGGCATATTTCAAAGTGAGAAAAACTCCTTAACGCGTCGCTAATAACTCACGATATGGGCACTGATAGGTATCGGAATAATCGACGCGTCTACGGCGTCCGCAAGTCATTCAGTAACAATACAAAATGCAAGATAGAGTACACGCACCAACAATGCGTACATTTTGAACTCCATATATCTTCAGTCGTGTATCAACAACACCGCCCATGTCCGCCGGCAGCATGGCCATGGTCCCCACAACATGATTATCGCTAGAGACAGAGTTCTTCGTCCATTCCTCCACGGTGGTTGCCGACGTCTTCTCGGGCCCTGGCTCATATTCGCCTTGATATATTGTGTCAAGAGGGGGGGTTTGGAGCATTGAGCGGCCTAGTTGTATACCGCGTGTGTGGATCGCTAGATCTAAGGGATGCGAATAATACGCTGGGTCGATAACCGAAGTGTCGGCCGGGTTTGAGGAGTTGACGTGTGTCCGTCCACGGGATAGCGGAGAAAATAGAACTGCGTTTATGGAGGTGTACTTTTCATGAGGCCGGTCCTCGAACGCAGTCGGTCCCGCATAGCCTGGCTCTAAGACACGAATTTACCTTGTAGACACAAAGAGTAGCAAAATGGTGGCCCTACCAAGATTAAGTTCCACTGGAGCCAGCTTGTCTCGTTTCCACAAACTCATGACGATCGCATATTGTGCTTCGATGCCTTTCGCGAGGTTTAGATTTCCGTTAGAGAAGAGAAGAGCGTAATGTGCCATGTTATCTTCAGTGTGTTGCATCAACTGCTCGAGCTGCACCGGAGTAAATAAGTCAGATGCGACAGCGAGACCCAATGACCGGGGCGCAGCTGAGAGGACACCTATTGAAATGCACACAGTTGAACAGCCTGACGTTGAGTTTATTGACGGTTGATTTACCGGAACGGTTATGGAACCAGAGATCCTGCTGTTCTTCCTTAAAGCGTGGATCCAATGTCAGTAAGTCTCTTGTGACGCTGCTCTTTTCAGTCAGACAAAGGACAATCATGCTTCACAATTCACCTTACGACGCGTTTGTGAATGCATTCGCCCAACCATGAACGTGATCTATAGATTCGATTTCTTAGCAACGTGGTGGGCGGAGCTGAAGAAAAAGTTACCTGCGAGATTCTCCCCAACGGTAGGCAGATCTAATATGGGGGTAACACCGGCATTTTTCAGTATGCTGTGAAAATATGTTGATCAATCATACATAGATGTCGCATCAGCGCCAGCAATCTTCCGTTGCAGAACACTCACGTCGTATTTCCCACTCCGGAAAGCTCCAATATCTTCGGGGTCGCAATAGTTCCGGCCGACACAATGACCTCTTTTCTGACATTCACATGCCGTACTAGACCATTTTCCGTACGATACTCAACACCGATAGCCTTCAGCGGGTCTGTTCGTGTTGCTCCGGTGGTTCCAGTCATGCTCCACAGTATCCGATTCACAAAGACTCCCGTTAGAACCCTAAAATTAGGTCTATTAGAAAACGGGGTGTAATAAGCGCAGACCGAAGAGCATCTAACAAAGACAGTAGATGGCGTATGAGTGAGCCGACAGCAGATAGCGGAAAAACAAGCGCGGGAACTCACCTTGTGTTATTCTGCGCGTCGAGTGAGTTCGGTGCAACCCCCACCGTCCCCTGCGGACTTCCGTTTGATAGATCAGGTGAAGGACTGAATCCCGATGCGTTGTGCCACATCTTTGACTGATCGTAGAAGTAGTTTGGGTAGCCGACCTTGACGCGCCCATGGTCGACATCGGTACCATGCACATGTTCGTCGAAGAGGACACCGCTGAGCACCTGGCTTTCCGTCGGTCGCGTGAAGAGTTCCAGCTTTCTAAAAAACGGAAGCATGGAATCCCAGGTCCATTGCGGGTCGTCATCGTTCAAGGTACCCCATGCGTCGTATTGCTCTTTTTCTGCACGAGGCTGGGAGCTGTGAGTTCTACGGTGTGCTAAAGTCTGCATTGTGGCGTACGAATATCATGCTGTTGACTATCGGGTGAGGTATTCCGTTAGTTTCCATGCCATAGACTTGGTATACCAAACTGACTGATGGTACTTCCACCGAGCGCCTTTCCTGCGTTTATTGTTGTGGTTCGCCCATTCAGGTGTTCTTGCGGAATTGTTTTGTAGCCCCAATTCAACGTTGTGAATGCTTGTCCAGTACCCACAAGACCTGGGATGAACACCTGCTCAAAAGCAATGTTTTAAGCCAAGGATATTGCAGCATCTGATTGCATTAACCTCGGGGAGACGCTCGACGTTCGATCCAGCTTCAAGGACAATGACAGTACTGTTCAACAACTCGCTCAAGCGACTTGCAATGGCTAAACCCCTATAAACGCTATAGTCAGCTTATTTGTGACGATAAAAAACCGCAACTCACGCGGTCCCTCCGCCTATGACTACATAATCATATGTACTATCCCCCGAGTCGTAACCTCCAAAGCCAGATATCCACCCAATGTGAAACAAGGAAAGCGAGAAAATCGAAAGGAAATCGAACCACATCCCGGACTTTCAAAGACAGCCACAAAGGAGACATATGTGGGGACGCGTTGCACTATCTTATAGCAGTCCTGTGAATAGCCGCGGCCTGGTCATGAGCAGAAATGAAATGGTCAGGGTCGCGTCGAAGCAGCCTCGCTGTTTCAGTTACTCGCCGTTAATCGTAGTATGCACTAGTCCATTCGCAAATGAAGCGGCGAAGTCGCCGCCGGATATGGCATTCAGCTGGTGCATTTTTTGCGAACCGGTGTTATAGGCAGCCTAAATGCAGTCTCGGGCATGTCCGAAACTGGAACAGCTACCATCGAACTATGAGGTGAGCGAAGGTCTCGCAGACTTACACACCCACCATCAACCGTTAGTACGCGAACTGATCTTCTTCGATAATGGATTGGTGAGCCACGCTGCGAAGTGTAGTGAATGGCGGGCGTCTGTTCCGATGTGTAAGAACTGTTTACTTATATTTGATGCCCGTAAGTTTTCTGAAGAAGCCTGCAGTGATACTATCAAACTTACCTTGACACTATCACACCATACATTAACCAAGGACAACCAAGCGCGGTGTCCTGTCCAATCAACATGTTTAGAACCGGGAAACGAATCAAGGAAGCCGAAAAGCAGGGATCAAGAAGGCTGGTGAAGAGCACGAAATCACAACCGGGACGGAATTATATTATTTGAACGGGTAAGCGAGCCAATAGATGACGAGTAATTGGTCACACAATGTCTGTCGCGCGCATTCGATGAGTCCGGTGACTCTCTTGAAAACGTCAGGAACACCGAGGTTGCTGTCGGACCTTTATGCACTAGGTATTTGTCGGTGTGTTCAATTGGACTCTGATATCGGATGACGGGGCTGTCTCATTAATGATATGAAATACAATTATGGGCCACTCGAGGACACCAGAAGGTTAGATTGAAGTTTCAAGAGCGAAGGAGAAAGGTACATACCGCTCTATCTCCATCTTCTCGTCGTCGCTCGAGCTTTCGTCTGTATCTCCCGCCTGTAATATTCGTTTGCTCTGAGCTGCACCACTCATCGTCTCCACGCTCTTCCGTATAGAGTTGTATACCTGCGTTGCACCAGCCTTCGCGAGCTCCCTGGCCTGGAAGAACTCATTCGGAAGGTAGCCGCCATCCGTGACCTTCCAGTTCGACCACACACAGTCCACACGAGAACCACGCTCTGCATTTTGGTCAGAGAACAAGAACGCGAAACTCCCGCCGCCAAGGAGTGTCTCCGCTTCTTCTTCACTCGGATCCACGACGAGAGTACCGTTGGACAGCCGCCCAACCGCGACAGCGGCAACAACACCCTGCATCAACACTGAGCCGGCCTGAAGGAATGCCAGCGTGCTCGCGTTAATCATGGACGCGGTGAGGGAGTCCTTCCATAGAGGTGCCACAGGTGATGTAAGTGATTGAATAACGAGCTGAACCATGGTACGGGGACTTTTAGTGAGAATTAGGGAGGGTTCAATTGTCGATTTGATATTCGCTGCCACCAGTTTTGCTTCCGTGGCCGGGATGTTGGCCAAAGGGCGAACTAGGACTTCGAATGTGGCTTTGGATGGTATCTCAGCGGCTAGTCGTACTTCAATTGGTCCAGATACCGCCGCCAGTGCAGATGTATCGTCGCCTGAAAAGCGTGGCATAAGCGACCAGTTAGGCTCTGCGGAATGATTAACGTACCGAATGCGAACCTTGCCGACCCATCTACGCGCGCCAGTCCATCATAAGATATCCTCAACTGCCTGATTTTGGTGGATGTTCGACCATCACGTCGGGTGGGTGTGGACATCGTAAAGAAGAAAGTAGCAGCATGCATAACTACCGGAGGCGAAAATGAACTTGATTGTAGAGATAAGATAAGATAACAAGGTTCTTCTCACACTCTTCACGCGCACAGCCCCGGCGCTACGATGTGCGCTGGCGAAATACTATGACCTTCGAGTTGTACATCGCAAACGAGGGGATTCAGGCGTAAAATGTCTTTCACCGCTGATGAAATGCACCCCGACCCAGCTCTACGCAGCTCAACAGAAGACCTCGAACGGAAATGCAAGCAAATGGAGATTGGGTTGACTGATATCCGCAACGCACTCTCGACCTTGCGTACGACGTGTG